GCTAGCCAGAAAAATCCCAGCATTCACATGGCCAGGAAAATAATAATTTTCCTACTTTATGCAGTACTAGCAGTAATTTTGAATGGTGGCGTTGTTTTAAACATTGCTTGCAAGCAGAACCAGTAATCAATCTTATGTGTCCGTCTCATAAGTTTAGTAACTTCTTATACATGCGCATACCAATTTCTGATCAAAATCAGATGAAACTATAGCTTAAATGTGCCTTCCTACAAGCAGTAGAAAGTAACTACTAGCTGTTAGCATCCGACTAACACTTAGATAGTTGTGTAAAGTGTAACTTTCAAACCACTCCTCTCTCTCTCACTCTCTCTCTCACTCTCTCTCACTCTCTCTCTCTCTCTCTCTCTCTATCCCCGTCACTCCTGGTTTCACTTCCTGTTTATGCTATCACCTTCTCTTTGGATTCAGTTAGGTCGGTCCCTCCCCACATACTTTGGTTTTACTTGTGTTATTGTTTATATATTTTTTTACTTTATTCTACCTCTCTTTGTTTTTATTGCATTTATTTACATTTGTTTAGCATGAATGTACCAATTCAGCTAAATTGATTTTGATCAAATCTGAGATTTAATTAAATCCATTTGTTTACTTTTCCTTTTAGTTTCCTACGGCTATTAGGACCTTTTCGTTGTACTTTTACCTCATTTTAGTTATTTTACCATCACCATCTTCACTCTTTGTATAGGATTACAGTAGTTCTAGCTACTGTTGTTTCCTTAATGAGTCATACAGGTTATTAGTAGCCTAATCCCTGTTTCCTCTCTACTTCTCCTCACTCCTCAGTGCCAGGCCTAGTACATTGAAGTGCAGTTACTGTTCAACACAGTGTAGGCCCAGATAGAACTAGGAACACTTTCCATTGTTTCTTTTTCTTTCTCTTTTTGACCTCGAGTTATAGGTGCATCTCAATAAATTAGAATGTCGTGGAAAAGTTCATTTATTTCAGTAAATCATAACAATTAAAAGAACCAAAGACTTAAACTACTTCAGTCTGTGTGCATTGAATTTATTTAATACACGAGTTTCACAATTTGAGTTGAATTACTGAAATAAATGAACTTTTCCACGACATTCTAATTTATTGAGATGCACCTGTATTTGGTGTGTCCCTGCTAGCTTAGCTAACAGTCTAACCCTAGTTTTATGAGTCTATTGCAGCATCACTCACAAGTGACACCTGCTTAGCCATATTTCCTAGCAAAAAAAAACTAAATAGGTCAAATCTTCCTTCTTCCCTTTCTTTTTTTGATTTCATCTTATTTTATTTCAGTTTTGTCATAGTGACCAAACCCG